CACCGAGATCCCAGGGTCCCTCACCCCGCTCCCCCAGCGCGACCTCTCCGAAAACTGCCGCTGGCGGGACCCGCCGCCCGCTGAGGTGCACAGCGCCTGTCGGGACTGTGCAGGTGTGGGCTCTCGCCAAGACACGGAACGTCCCGCCCCACAGGGTCCTCCTGCCGCAGCCACCTCCCTGCCCTTGCCTGGCCCCTGACAGCCGCCGTCTGTCCCCGTCTCTGCGGCCTTTTCCCTTCGAGAGTGGCGTGGGAACGGACTCCGTGTTTGACCTCTAGGATCCTCTTTGTTCCACTCAGCCTGAGACCTGTCCAAGCTGCTGCGCCTGTCAGCGGCTTGTTCCTTTTTATTGCTGAGGGTCCCTCGGTGCGGGTGGCCATCGTGGGCTCCCAGTGGGCGTCCGTGGGGCACTCTGCTAGGTCCTGGCCAGTATCCCCTGTGCAGCACAGACTTTTCCCTGCCCCACCCCCACCATTCTTGTGGCGTGCAGGGACGACCGGACTCCAGGGTCTGGGAGCAAGCGTGTGGTCCCAGCCTGGCCCGGCAAAGTCCCGTGGAGGGGTTCAGGGCCAGGCCTTCCCTGTAGCTCAGGCGGGCCCTGCTTTGCTGCTGGGGCTGGTGCTGACTGCGGATCGCAGCTGCTGGCAGGACCCAGACAAGCTCCGTCCAGCCCTGCAGACACCCTGGGCCTGGGCAGGTGCAGCGGAGCCGGGACCCCAGGAGTGCCCTTCCCTTCCCATAATGGGAACGGGTGACGCAGCTCACAGTGGCCACCCACGTCCCAGGGTCAGGCACCCTTTTCTGCAGGGCCCGGGGGGTGCAGCCTACACCCCCTCCAGCTCCACCCATGCCCTTTCACACCACAGCTCATTAAGGTGCCAAGCACCGCGCCCACTGGGTCTCCGAGTTGTGTAACTGAGGCAGCAGCCTGCTGGCACCACCACCGCTGACCCTCTGCAGGGCTCTGCTCTGGTCTGGAACCCACCCGGAACCGCCGGCGTTCAGGGTCATGGGGAGAAGGGCCAGAGAAGCGACTCCGAGTTCAGAACACGCCACTCGCAGAAGGAGAAAGGCACCAGCCAGGGCTCAGGCCTCCTCCTTTGTGTTGAGGAGCGTGAGATGCAATCACGTGTCCTGTACTTTGCAGGGAATGCCCTGACCGCAGATCACCAGAGCCCTGAAACCTCCCTGACATGGGGGCACTTGAATCCTTGCGAGTTTGTTTCCTGCCCTCTGAGCACACCTGCCATCAAAGCCTACAGTGAACTGCCAACTTCTTGATCGGAAGTAGTGGTGTGGGCCGGGCGCGGTGGCTCACACCTGTAATCCTAGCACTCTGGGAGGCCGAGGCGGGAGGATCCCTCAAGGTCAGGAGTTTGAGACCAGCCTGAGCAAGAGCAAGACCCTGTCTCTACTAAAAATAGAAAGAAATTAATTGGCCAACTAATATATATAGAAAAAATTAGCCGGGCATGGTGACGCATGCCTGTATTCCCAGCTACCGGGGAGGTTGAGGCAGGAGGATCCCTTGAGCCCAGGAGTTTGAGGTTGCTGTGAGCTAGGCTGACGCCAGGGCACTCACTCTAGCCTGGGCAACAAAGCGAGACTCTGCCTCAAAAAAAAAAAAAAAAAAGAAAGGTAGTACTGTGATTTAGACAATGTCATCAACACAGCAAGGGACGCTGACCACCTGCCCACTGTCCTGAGGGTCCTGGTCCCTTTGGGCTGTTTTGTAGCACAGGCAGAGCGACCGTCACAGGGCAGGACGGTGAGTGTGCCGGAGGCTGTCCCTGTGCCCGCAAAGCCCTCCCGACACCCTCTCCGCAGGCTGGAAGGGAGGCCGTGCCTCGGAGCAGAGGCTGCGTGGCTCTGTCCTGCCCAGCGCCGCAGCCGGGACTTCTGCGTGGCTGAGTGTCCCCGACACCCTCCAAAGTCGACCAGCCCCTCGGAAGTGGACTGCTGACTACGTAACCCCTTAGGGTCTTTCGGGGCAGCATGGTCTCTGTCTCCCCCAGGATGTGTTACTGTTTTGGGGTTTTTTTGAGACAGAGCCTTGCTCTGTCACCCGGGCTAGAGTGCTGTGGCATCATCATAGCTCACAGCAACCTCACACTCCTGGGATCCAGTGATCCTCCTGCCTCAGCCTCCCTAGTAGCTGGGACTACAGGCACGTGCCACCACACCCGGCTAATTTTTGTATTTTCTGTATAGACATGGAGTCTCACCGTGTTGTCCAGGCTGGTCTCAAACTCCTAGGCTCAAGCAATTCTCCCGCCTTGGCCTCCCAAAACGCTGGGATTGTGGATGCAGGCAACCATGCCTGGGCCATGGCACTGTTTTGGGGTTTCCATCTTTTTTTTTTTTTAAATGAGACAGAGTCTCACTCTGTTGCCGGGGCTAGAGTGCTGTGGCGTCCGCCTAACTCACAGCAACCTCAAACTCCTGGACTCAAGGGATCCTCCTGCCTCAGTCTCCTGAGTAGGAGGCTCAGGCTGGTTTTGAACTCTTGCTCAGGCTGGTTTTGAACTCCTGACCTTGATCAATCTGCCCGCCTCGGCCTCCCAGAGTGCTAGGGTTATAGCCTGAGCCACTGTGCCCGGCCTGGATTTCCATCCTGGCACCCACTTGACCTTCCCCACTGGGATGGCATTGAACCTGCATGCCAAGCAGCCAACACAAGTGTTCTGATGGCTACCAAACACCGTATGTCCATGCAAACCTCAAATTCCCTGTGAGCAGAAATGATCATACAGTGACTCCGTGGATGCAATGGTCCCACCGGGAGCCAGGCCTGGGGGGACTCCACTGAACGCCTGGCCCCCGCGAGCACCTGCTCTAACAGAGGCGTGATGACCTTCTGGTCGCCGGGCAGCCGTGTGGGTGCAGACTCAGAGCCCAGCAGCCCTCTGCATGCCCAGGTAGCTCCTTTCCCTGGTGTGTGGTCGCCCCAGTCAACGGCAGCAGGCCCTTTGTGGGAGTCCTGGGCCCCCTCCACCCACACGCGTGGCCAGGGCCTCTGGGTAAGAGAACTGCTCACGTCTGGAAACTGGGCAAGGGAAGGTGACTTTTTTAGGACAGTTTTCTTTAGCCTTCTGATGTCTGTCTTTGAATTCCATTGGTCGTGTAAATTGAACCAAAGCCAGGGCTGCTGGTCGCCCCCCATCTGGCTCCACGAACCATCTCTGCAGCGCTTTGCCGTGAGGGAGCTCCTGGCTGCTCAGGGTAGGGACCGCGTCGGCCTCGCAGAGCTGACGGCTGTCTCCTCCTGGACTCTGTTATTTCACCGACAGTCCCGCGCCTGCACCTCCACCGCCACCTCCTGCTGGGGCCACAACCTCGAGGTCTCACGCTGTCGCCTGGGCTACAGTGCCGTGGCGTCAGCCTCGCTCACAGCAACCTCAAACTCCTGGGCTCAAGCATCTCCTGCTCCTCCCGAGTAGCTGGGACTACAGGCATGCGCCACCATGCCCGGCTAATTTTCTCTATATATATTAGTTGGGCCAATTAATTTCTTTCTATTTATAGTAGAGACGGGGTCTCGATCTTGCTCAGGCTGGTCTTGAACTCCTGACTTTGAGCAATCCTCCTGCCTCAGCCTCCTGAGTAGCTGGGACTACAGGCATGCATCACAGAGCCCGGCTGATTTTTTCTATATATATTTAGCTGTCCAGCTAATTGTTTTCGATTTTTTTAGTAAAGACAGGGTCTCGCTCTTGCTCAGGGTGGTCTTGAACTCCTGACCTTGAGTGATCCTCCCGCCTCGGCCTCCCAGAGTGCTAGGATCACAGGCGTGAGCAACCGCGCCAGGCTGAGAATAGTTACTAACTCTTTCAACAACCTAACGCTTTATTAGTAATGAAATGAAGAGAAAGCCTTATCTTCAAGCCTGTACTCCAGCGCATGCTGTGAGTACCTGTGTGTGCAGGGGCCGGGGCTGTGCAGTTCTGCAAAGTAGAGGAGGGAAGTGAAGGCCAAGACAGGAGGTCAAGGAGGAGAAGACCTTGGGCACCGCACAGAGCAGTAAAGGAGGTGCGGCCCGCCGGAACCTGCAGGCAGCCGGCGTGTGCGGGCGCGGAACCGCCGGAGCAGGGGCCGCGAGAGCCACGAGGGGGGGCGGTGCGGCCAGACCCGGCCTTACCCCCACCTCCACGCCCGGACCCCGGCCACTACCCCACTTCCAGCGCTCAGACCCCGGCCATTACCCGTCCCCCAGCGCCCGGACCCGGACATACTCCACTCAGCGCTCGACCCCGGCCATACACAGCTCCAGCGCCCGACCCGGCCACTGATCACTCAGCTCTCAGACCGCCGGCACGTGACCCCATCCCAGCGCCGACCCCGGCCCTACCCACTCCCAGGCCGACCGGCCAGGTACCCACTCCAGCGCCCGGACCCCGCCAGCTACCCACTCAGGCCTGACCGGCACTACCGTCCCAAGCCGCCTGGACCCGCCACTACCCTCCGCGCCGCCCGGCCATTACCCGTCCCCCAGCGCCCGGACCCCGGCCACTACCCCACTCTCAGCGCCTGGACCCGGCCATACTCCACTCCAGCCCCGGAACCCGGCCACACCCCATCCAGCGCCGGACCGGCCATACCACTCTCAGCGCCTGGACCCCGGCCATACTCATCCCAGCGCCGGACCCGCCACTACCCCCCCATCCGGCCCTAGCATACCCAGCGCGACCCCAGCCACCACTACCCGTCCCCACCCGGGCACTACCACCCCCCGCGCAGAACGGGACTACCCCACCCACCCATGCGCGGACCCCAGCCACTCCCCCCACCCCCAGCGTCCCTCCGGGTTCCCTCCTCTCCCGGTCCCCAAGTCCCCACTCTGCGCCCAGCCCCCATTCCCCTCGCCGCGGAGCCAAGCCTGGCCTTTCGATCCCTCCGATCCCTACCTTGCGGGCCTCGCCAATGGGGGCGGGGCCCTCCGTCGGCCGCGGGCGGGCCCGTGCGCGCGTGGCGGCTGTGGGGCGCGGGCGGCGGCTGCGGCCGGCGCGGGCGAGGCGCGGCGGGCGGCGGGCGCGCAGCATGGCGGTGGAGGAAGAGGGGCTCCGGGTCTTCCAGAGCGTGAAGATCAAGATCGGTGAGTCCCGCGGGGCCGGCGCGGGCGGGGTCTCGCGGCTGGGACGCCCCGGCCGCCCTCCCCGCGCGCGTCCCTGACCCTAAGCCTGGGCGCGGCGGGGCGCAGCGGGCGGGCGGCCGGGCCGAGCGCGGCGCGGCGCGGGGAGCTGGTCCCTGCGCGGGCGTCTGTCCGAGTGTCCGTGCGCGCGTCTCCGCTTGGGCGCTGGCACTCGGGTGTCCGGCCCCCCGCACTGGGTCTCCGCGCCTGCCCTGCGCCGCTGCGCCCGGAGACGTCCTTTCCGGGGGTGAGGGCCCCTCCGCGGTCCCCAGGCGCGCGGCTGGCCGGGGGGGTGCGCGCTCGCGTGTGCGTGTGTCTGCACGCGTGTGCGTGTGTCTGCGTGTGCCCGTGTGTGTGCGCGCGCGTGTGCGTGTGTCTGCGTGTGCACGTTTCTGCGCGCGCGTGTGTGGCGAGCGCTCCTGCGGGCCGGGGTCTCTGGGTCTCCGCCAGCGCCAGCCTCTTCCTGAGAACCGGCTGCCCAGCCAGTGGCCTTTCTCCGGGCTGCGGAGCTGGGGAGGGAGAGGAAATGCGGTCGTGAGCCGCGCTTGGGAGGAGTTCCGGAGACAGAGGCCACGGCTGGACTTCGCGGGTTATCTGTAGGGATGTGCTTCCCCCACTTGTTTGATCTGGAGAGAGTGATGTCTTCCCCCTCCCCAAAACAAGTGACTGTTGCGCACGACAGCCCGAGCGTGCTGGAGGGGCGCCCGGCGGTGCTGGGGAGGGCGCGGGACGGCGCGAGCTGCCCCACATCCCGGGGCATTCCCAAGTGAAGCAAGGCCTCCGGGAACAGAGCCAGGCCCCGCGACTGTTGGAGTGTCAGTTGTTGATGACATTCGATGCTGCCCGAGGAATTCCAGCCACCCTCAATCAGCGTGTTGTTTCCTGTCGGCTTTATTTGGGTTTGCAGATCATCGCTGAGACACTGTTTTGATATTTGGCTCAGAGGCGCGGCAGATAGGATGTGGCAGCACTGGCTCCGAGTAGTGGGCGGGGAGGATCTGGCTTGTTTTTGTGGCTGAAACGTGCTGTCACTTTCAAACCGGGTAAGCCAGCGCTGGGCTCCACCTGAAGCCTCTCGGAGGGGCAGAGTGCCCAGTGTGGCTTCAGCCCCATCCCTCAGCTCAGCGAATCAGTCCTGGTGGCGAGCTGCGAGGAATGCCGAGCGTCCTGAACCCGGGGACCAGAGCGGACTCGGGCGGGGTGTGGCCGTGGCCCTGCCGGGCTCTGCAGTCTCCGACCAGCCGCAGCACCGGGGCCAGTGCCGTGTTGGAGGAAGAGTCACTTCTTCCCTGACTGCAGAGGAAGTGGAGCACAGGCTGCGGCTTTGCCTGCCTTCCAGGGTGCTCAGCCTAACACCCGGCCTTCCTGGGAGGGTCTGTCACCCACACACCTGCCCAGAGGAGGCTGGTGCAAGAAGGGAGGTTTGAAGAAGCTGCTCGGTTGGGCTGTTTTCACCCCACCCCTCTGTGAGGAGGGCTAGCTCAGCGGAGGCTTAGACCTCTAATCCAGCGTGGGGCCTGGGTATAATCTGAACCTTTGACCCCGCTCCCCCAGCGGCGTTCAGGGGCCATAGTGCGCAAACACCCAGGCACCAGCGCACGACTTTCTGCTCGGGGCTCTGGCTCGGAGAGCCCGGAGTCTCTCCCCTTGGGGGTGTTTGCCTGCAGGGCTGGCTGCAGGGGGACGTCTGTGTCCCCCGCTGTAGCTGGGCCTGTGTGTGGAGCACAGCGGGGCATGCAGAAAGGCAGGACACCCTCCCTCCGGGTTTGAGCGGAGAGCGGACCAGGGTGTGCTGTTCCTGGAGACCCAAGACTGGTCGTGGGCGAGCTGGTTTGGGGTTTAGTCTCCTTCCACTGTCTCGTTCTCCTGGTGCCTCGCTCCCAGAGGGAAAGCCTGTCCGTGGGACAGAAGGGGAGGGCGCCCAGGGCACAGCAGGTGGCGCGCTGAGCTCCTGTGGCCGGTCGGGCCCTGCCCTGCCCGGCTCCCGCAGGCAGACAAGACAGCAGCAAGCAGTCACGTCGAGGGCAAGCGTGCGTTAATCACACACCGTACACGGTCTCCTGCCCTGGTCACCCCCTCGCCAGGCCCCAGGCTCTCCAGCCGTGCACCCCAGTCCGCCGGGTGACTCGGACGATCCTCTTGCACTCATCACCTCGCTTTCCCGTTTGCAGGCAGTTCCTGTGGGAACTGGTGGGAACTGACAAGGCAGTGTTGTCAGGCTTAGGTTAGCGCCGACCCCCTCAAGCCAAGAAAAAGAAGAATTCTCCCTGAGGTTGTGCCATAAGTATCATGCTATTATTGCTAAGAAAAAAGGCAGAACATTTTGGGGGAGGGGTTGGGAGGTTTTTTTAAAGATGTGTGGGAGGGGTATTGGCCTTTTACATTCTTTTTTGTTGTTGTTGAGACAGTCTCCCTCCCTCACCCGGGCTAGAGTGCCGTGGCGTCAGCCTCGCTCACAGCAACCTCAAACTCCTGGGCTCAAGGGATCCTCCTGCCTCAGCCTCCCGAGTAGCTGGGACTACAGACATGCACCACTGTGCCCGGCTAATTTTTCTGTTTGTAGTAGAGATGGGTCTCCTCTTGCTCAGGCTGGTCTCGAACTCCTGTAATTCTTAAATAGTTTTGGAAGGTACAATGGTACGTGGTGTCTTTTGGAGGCTGAAGTTGCAATGAGTGGAGAGAATCTTCCCTTCCTTTCCCCTCCCTCTTTCTTTTTCCTTCCACCTTTTGCAAATGAGATAATACAGAAGAAGGAGACAGTTATTCCGTGCACTGAAAAATCTTCCAGCTGTGTGTCTTTGGTGACAGTGGCGGCCTTTTACTGCAGCCAGCGAGCCTGGCGAGTGCGGCTGGCACACACTTCCTGTGCGCGGCTCTGAGGAAGTGTGCGGCGCTGACTTTCCGTGAGTCAGCCCCGGAGCCCGGAGTGCCCGCGCCGCCCTCCCTGGCCCGGCCCTGCGGGGATGTTTCCCTTCCCACCAAGTTGACCGCTTGTTTTCAGAGTGTGATCTTATCTCGACACAGGTGTTTAATAACGAGCAACACACAGAGATGCTTCCCCTAGTCTATACAAAATAAACAATCCCAGCCTTGCGTTCTAGGTTGACAAGAGTCCTTTTTTGTTTTTTTCTTTCTTTTTTGAGACAGAGTCTCACTCTGTTGCCCTGGCTATAGTGAGTGCCATGGCGTCAGCCTCGCTCACAGCAACCTCAGACCTGAACTCAAGCAATCCTCCTGTCTCAGCCTCCCGAGTAGCTGGGACTCCAGCATTCACCACCACGCCTGGCTAATTTTTTCTATATATTTTTAGTTGGCCAATTAATTTCTTTCTATTTTTAGTAGAGATGGGGTCTCCTCTTGCTCAGGCTGGTCTCGAACTCCTGACCTTGAGCGATCCTCCCGCCTCGGCCTCCCAGAGTGCTAGGATGACAGGCGAGAGCCACTGGGGCGGATGAGGAGAGTCCTCCTGCACTCCTGTGACTTGCTCATTTGCTGCCAAGGCGTGGGCGGCTGGTGGCCGTGGCGTGGGAGCCAGGCTTTGCCTCCCGTGTCCTTGCTGTCGGGCTGCCTGCCCCCCCCCCCGCGCACCCCTTCTTTCCCCTCGCTGCCAGCACCGGCTGCTCCTCTGGGCTCTCCGTGCCTTCGCTGCAAGATCAGAACTTGTCCAGGTAGAAGGGCCGCGGCCATGTGGGTCCCGTGTGGGACTTCAGCGCTGACGGCGTCTGCAGACCCCTGGGCGGCCCCCACAGCCACCCGCCCTCCGGTGGACTGTGGACGGGATCCCTCCAGATGCAGGAGGTGCCGTGTGAGAAGGGAGCCCAGAGTTGGGGTGTGGGGTGGGAGGCGTCTCTGGACCACACCCCTTGCCATGTGGGTGGCAGGAGACCGACCGCAGGGGCTGCTGGACCTGGCTCTGCTGCGAGTGAGATGGCTGACACTAAAGTGCCAACTTCTGGTTGCGGAGTCTCTCCTGGTGTCCTCCTCCTGGGGGCAGGAGCTGCTGTCACGGGCTGGCACTGTAGGCGTCACCTTGGGTGGTGGCCCTGGTGTGCAGCAGCGTCTGGTCAGCAAGTGAAAACACTCGCACCACAGGAGGGGCTTCCCAGGGCTGAGGCTGACCCCAAACGAGAGAAGCGTCTCGTGGGCGTGCGGGAGTGATGTCAGTGACGCGGCAGCTTTTCCGGCGTGGCTGTCCGGCTGTGTGGGGAGGGCCCTGCTGCTGGCCACGGCGGCCCGCGACATCAGAGATCCCAGACTCTCCTCGTGCTAAAATTAACCTGGGTGTTCTCTTAACCGAGCCCGGCTCAGTGGCCTGTGCTATATTTAACTGCTGAGGACTAAAGCGCACAGCTGGGCTGTACCTGGGGACTGGGCGTGTCTGCGCACGTGTGGGGTGGAGGAGGGATGCAGCTCTCACGTGCGTGGTTCTCGTGTTTTATTTAAGTTCCCCCAACGCCACGACGTTCGGGCTGAGCAACGGAGGCTCGTAGAATTTAACCTGGCCGCAGTCGCCCTCCATGCAGGATCTGAAGCCCCGTGGGTGTGACGCGGCTTTCCCAGGCTCTCCCATCCCGGCGGTGTAGAGGGCTCCTCCCTTTCTCCGTGACCTTGGACTTGAATGGGGGGCGGGTCGTGGAGGGCTGGAAAAGAGAGAGACTTGGGCCTTGGGGCCCGGGCGGTCAGTGAACAGAGGGAGGAAGGGGCGACAGGCAGGTGGGCGGTGGGGTCTGTGGTCTCCTGGCAGCAAAGCGGGAGCCGCTCAGCCAGACCCCACCCCCGCTTGACCGGCAGCGACTCCAGGCAGGACCTCACCGCAGGGGCACCGCGGCCAGCGGCTAGGCGAGGGAAGCAACGTGAGTGCCGTGGAACGGGGTGATTGTGTTGTGGGCGTCCACGCGTGGCTGCTCCGTGGCCGTGGAGGAGCGCCAGGCCCAGGCCAGACCATGCGACCTGCAGGGAGTGTG